TAATCACTGGGTAGAATTCCACCGACCGCAAATTCTCTCCACTGATCGCCACTACCATACAAGACTTGTGCGTGAAGCGGTTGAAATAAAGAAATGCCCAAATAATTTCAATCGGGAGGACGGCTTTAAATTGTCGTCGACGTGGAATCCAGTGCTTCGCAAAACACAACCTCGCTTTCCTTCAAAGTCGGTTAACACATCTGTGGATATAATCAGCGTAGTGTGTAGACGGCCTAATATGGTAGAAAATGAAAATAAGGGGGTAGATGAAGATTCATCACCCGAATGCAGGGAGCTGTGACATCGCGTCTTCAGTCTGCTTGTGACTACGACCTGTGCAACCGGGTCGAAACGTCAAGCCTACCAAGGTATTCAAATTATAATTTTCCGCGTTAATACCCGCGTAAATATAATGTTCTTAGTGTATATCTAATTTATTTATTTACTTTGTTCCAGTATTGTTAGATACGCGCATTTGGTACCATGCTACAACTATTCCTAAGGGTCAATTTTCTTTGACAGTCCAGTCAGAATATGGATGAATTAATGCTGCTATGCCAAGACTTAGTACAAAAGAAAGTGTTCTTTAACATATCAAGATGCCAAATTATACACATTTACTATTTATAAAAGCCATTATAAACCTTTGATGTAATGCATTTAAGTGCCATTTTTGTAGTGCAACTATGTTTAGCAATAAGTTTACGCAATATTTCGTTTTTTATATACATTTATACTTGTAAACTATTTATTTTCTACCTTATGTTCTATTAATATACTTTTTGGAAGTTTATTATATCTTGTTTCCCTTATTTAATGACATTTATTTCGGTGTAAGACTGTTTCGTGTGTCGCAAACTCGCAACTTCGCAAGGCTATTTTCTGACCATATAGGTAGTTCGTGAAATTTCAAATTTGGTGGGGCTTGTCCACTATTGCTACATAAATTATTTTTTCCTTCTAAGCTGAGTGTGATGCTTAGTCGGGGTATCTTTTCTCACATTTTGACTTCCCGCACTGCCCTAGGCCCCGTTACAACTAGCGCGTATTGTACATAACTGTTATGAATGACTACTCTGTCTCTATCATATGGTTAGTTCTTCAGAATTCTGTTCTCTTCAACAGCTATAACATATAGCATAACTGTGCGATTTGAGTAGACCACTGACTTCCTTATCGCTGCATGTGACTTCGAATTGTCCTTAGTTTTTAGGAAAGATTTTTAGGTGCAACCCTACCAATATATTAAATATATTTTTTATAATTATGTAATGGTTTTACGAAAGGCAATTTAAAGTGGTGAGTAGTTTTCAGTCGCGGACACTCATCAGCAATTTCCTTCAATGTGTGTATGTGAAGGCGACCAGCAGAGCCAGAGAAATGGGTTCATGGTTGGTATTTTATGAATAAAAGATAAAACGAACAAAATAATATTCAAATCATTTTATTCGTCTAATTCTATGATCAAAAGTTTTAAGTGAGGAATTGGCTTGAGTACCAACTATGACATACAAATACATAATTTTAAAAACACACAGTTTGATTACACATAAAAGTGATTAGAGGTAGTCGTGTGCTCAGTCCAATCCCTTCACTCAAGTTACATTGTAAAGTTCACATAAAGAGATCAGGTTTGAAACTCGGGGAACAATAAGCTCTCGAGGGACGCGCGGGCATCTCTATGATTACATTAGCAGTAATCTATGTACAGCTCACTGAACCCAAATGCGCGAAATGCAAACTTACAATAACAATAAATAATTTCCTTAATTTTGTTGACCAGATAGATGCCAGTTCGAATATGGACAATTTTAATTGACTTGGCATAATATGTATTTTTATCACAAATAAAAAGTGGTACGATTACATTGTACCAACTGTAATGGACACATTAGATTTAAAATTTATATTGCAACTACCCAATCGGCTGATAGGAAGGTAGAGACAGCAATGGACAGAAGAGTCACGAAGATTTGATGATTAGAATAACTGCCAGACGCCAAGCACTGCATCCTTTATGGCTTCGATGTATTGTGCTGGCACCCAGTATACCCAATACCGTGATGCTTCTGTAGGCCCTAGTTGCAATCCCTGTAACAATTATATACAGACATTAGAACTTGTGCAAAGAAAATCGATTCAAAACTTCACATAGACTAAAGTATCATACATACCATGATATGATACTCCTCATGCTCTTTGATTGGTTCAGATGTGATGCCTGTAAAATTAAAAAAAAATATTTTATAACAAAAAATGCACATGATTATATTGTTATTCATTGGTCAACACAACTTTAAATTTTTAATTTTAATTCATATTCCACACATAGAATTTGTTAATAAGAGATAATTTTATTTGTTTATAGATAAGAATACCAAACAGATTATAATAATTAGAGGTAAAAATTAGGTTACAACAACATTATCTTGTCAATTTTACAACAATATTTTAAAAAAGGGAGCAGTGCTTGCTTTTGATTTTGCGGGTGGCAATTGAATGTGCTAAACGCACAGGTGACCCATCTCCTCGGAAAAAAACTAGACTCATCTCATCCCTGACAATTATGGAACAAAAGCTCACCAAAAAAATATATGCTATTGTTTGTCTTTACTTGCAGACATTAATAAATCTACCTTACAATTTTAAGGTTTTGGAAACTTTAATGACAAGCACCACCACTACTACTACCAGGCTAGTTAGAAGGGTGTGCTATATGAGCATGCCATGCATAAGGACAGTACCTTGTTCTAATCATGTTCCTTTAAATAACCACTTACTTTTAATAGAAGCCATGGCCAATTTCTCTGTGCGCTCCTTAGTGCCAATCCACAGCTGATCCTGTTCATGTTTGAATGTGAGCCTCACTTTTCCTCCATGTTTGTTTAACATACCACTAAGAGGTACTGGTGGCAATGGCTCCTGGAAATGGATGTGTGAATTTCTTAACTATAGTTCAAGAATAAAGTTTAAGTGTTTTACATCTTTAAAAAAACAACCCTACACTATGTTTTTCTGCTGTGTTGTGGGTGCAACAATCACACCAATTCACATAAACAAGCCATCCAGACAAGGAATAACAATTTGTAAATTACACAAAGTGTTAATCCGTGTGGGAATTGAACCAGCGACTGGTTGTTGCACCAGGTAGCACTGTGTCAATGGTGCCATATTAAATATTATGCATGATTGGGAGTTCTAGAGACATTTATTTCTGTTCTTTTTTTAAACTACCTGACTTTGAGATTTATTACTGGGCTGTAGATGTGTTTACAAATTTTAATACACATCACACCTAGATACAGGCAATGATTTGTGGATCTGTTGCCCAGCTGTGGTCCATACTTAACTTCTAGAAATTTGTAAATATGAGCTTACCTTAACTCCCTTGATTCCAGGCATGACATCAGGAGGGATGCCTTTATCAAGTACTTTCCTGTGGATCTTTTGCATGCATAGTGGCTCCTTACTTGATTGACTGCTAGCTCTTTCCTCAGATAATTCCTAAAAAATGTAAACATAAAAAAACTTATGGATAGGGTTATTTTTCATTTTTATATAATAAATTTGTAACTAATTCGATATTAATTTTGCAATTATTGCATTACTCACAAAAATTACAGTATTCTTTTACTTTGAAACTTAGTTACAAGGATAATATTAATTGGTGCAGATAATATTTATCATAATACTACAATGTTTTGGTAGCCATTGTTATGATATTGTGATGTACAATAATAATTACCTTTTGGGCACTTTTCACAGCCAATATGTCGTCCATTTTGGATCCAACCAGCATCACCTTCCCTCCCTTTTGGACGCCAGATTGTCGCAGTGTCATGTTGTCCTTGGCCATGCCCTTAATTATTAATTTCTGCGCTGATTGCGGCACGCCGCATATTCGCTCCAAATGAGCTTTTAAATCTACCACAGTTGCATCGTACGCGAACGTAATGTCATGTTTGGCTTTATTAAAAACTACTGTAAATTCGATCTGTTCCGGAATCTCACATAATTCAGGTTCTGAGTCTTCAGTGGTCTCCGACGTGCATGCCGCACTCTCCGCGGGAGCTTCTATGTGTGCGCTCTCCAAAATACTCTTGTTTTCTGTCGATGACTTAGATGTGCCATTGGCTATTGAATTTGGATCTCGATTCTCTGTTGAGTCTCCCTTTTCTGATGCTAGAAAATAACATCAAAACGTGAGTTAGCAAAATTTCTAGAACAAAAGGTCTCGGTGTGTAGATTCACAAAGAGTGACAATCTGTATTTTCAGGCTGAAACTGAACGAATGTGTATTAATACTTACCAATATATTCCATAGTTTTATGTGAATTATCAGTCAGAAGTAATAAATTAACAAAAACGCTATTGTATCGTACTTGTTTTGAAAAAATAATTAAAATACAGCCGACTGGCTGACGTGAAGCAACAAATTTTTTGCACAGACTATATAATTTTTTTATGTTTTGTTGCGTTTGGAAACGTATCGATCGTCGGTAAGCAGACATTCGCGTTAGTCTGACTGAGCTTAATGCATACAAATGTTGCAATGTGTAAATAATTGTTTACCTGTATTTTTCTAATCATCTATTCCATTTTTATGATTCATACTCGTTTCATACTGCATAATTATTATTCTTTCAATATCGTATGTAGCGCTGCTAAGTTTTGTAGTTTACAAGTATGTCAATCAATCGATTGATTGATTTGCATCATGGAAGCCTGGGAATACCTTTTCATTTGTTTTTACATTTCATTTTTTACCCGAGAGGTTTAAGTAATGCTGATTCAGTTAAAAACATGTAAATATATTTTTTTTATAATTAAATAAAATAATCTAATCTAAATAACGAATAAAAAACAGTTTTGTTCATGGTTAGATGATGACAGATGTCTTCCGTTTCCATGGCGGCCAATTTGTAAACAATGATAGAAGTGCGCTCAATAAAATTATTAATTTGTGATAGGTAATTGATTAGTTTCAAAGTAACAAAATAATGAGTTTTAATATAGACGATCCTTTAGCTGGAATTCTAAGCGATGGCAGTGATGATAGTTTTTTTGATGATGACGTATTAGGAAAGAAAAAGTCCACAAGGAAAAAAAGCACACCAAATCTTGATAAGAAAAATAGTTTATTTGATTTAAAGGATACCGATAAGCCCAAACCTGTTGCCAGCACACTTGATAAGAAAGACTCATTGTTTGATATCGATTCTAAAAAATCACCTACACCTTTTAAAAGAACTGTGTCAAAGGAATCTATAAAATTTTCCCAATCAGATCCGAAAGTAAAAGTAGGGCTTGACAAACCTGATACAAGTAAGTCGCCAGCTAAACCTAAACCGAGCGCGAGTGCTGAAAAGCTCGATATTCTTAGTGAATTGGGTGGAACAAGGAAAGAGTCAAGTAAAATTATCGAAAAGGGGAAGAGCTCTCAATCTTTACTAGATGATATATTGGGTGGTCCTTCGGTAAAATCTGCTGGTCCCAGCCAGGCAGGAAGGCCTGTCACGGCAGGGAAAGGTCAAGAATTTGATTTTGATTCAATTTTAGGAAAAACTGAAACCAAAACTTCCGCTTCAAGCAAAAGTTTGCCCCAGAAACCTGTAAAAGAGAATGTGAAAGAAGATAAAGAAGCTCCTGCAAAAAAAGCTAAGTCTTCTGAAGACTGGCTGGGCATATTTCAAGATAAAGATGATGGTAACGACGATTTGGAAGATGAAGCTGGTATGCCATCATGGTTGGTGGGGGGCGATGCAAAGAAGAAAAAAGCTGAAAATAAAAAATCGACTGCTAAGCCTGAACCCGTTAAAGATAAACCTAAACCGACACCTGCGAAAGAAGAACGACCTGAACCAGAAGAGCCACATGCTGAAGCTAACAAAGACAATGAAACTGTGGAACAGATGGTTAAATTCAACCCAGTCTCAACTCCTAATGTTCTACAAGGGAGCACTGAAGATATTACGGCAGAAGGGGCTGCTCTGTATATGCAGCAGCAAGAGTCCCAGATCATGGTGGCGCTGCAGTTGAAGGCGCAGGAAGAGAAACTTGCTGCAATGCAAAGTGAGATATTGTAGATATTAACAATTTCAGGTTGAGCAAGGAATAATAATGACGCCCTGCTAAATAAAAACATCTGTTGGGCAACTTTACTCTCAACTTTCTATTCGTTTTTACTTCCTTAACATGATGATGAACGGTTGCACAGATCGTATCGCTCAGAATTGGCCCTGTTTAGTATACAGGCCTAAAATTTATAAAATTTAGGGCAAAAATGAGGTTTTACTTACGTTGCTAGATTTAAATACATGCTATCTTTCATGTTCATCATTTTTGTTAGATTTAAATCAAGCTTCTTAATATTAAATTGATAAAAAAATCATTTCTCATCCTTTTTTACATATTTGCCAGTGCGTCAGAAAGAGAGCCAGCGTGTACAACGCGAGGCAGCACTTGCGCAACACGCGCAGTTGGACGCCATGCTGCGGCGGCAGGCTGAGAACAGACAGCAAATGCAGACCATCATAGCTGCTCACCAGGAGAGGATTACTCAGAGAATAAAGGTGAATTCCTAAATAAAACTGCTTATTGAAAAAAATAGCACGAGTTTACACTAAAATCTATTCATTCGTTAGAAACGTTAAAGTAATCATTTTTTAATGCCACAATAATTATTTATCTCCAGGCACTCTTAGGTACCGAAAACACGGATAATGAAGATAATCCAAATTATACCGAAGAATTTTATACAACGGGAGACCACAAAGACTCGCCACACTTGCGAGAGAAAAAGCAGTTGTTACAATTAGTGCAGTCCTTACAGGAAAACCACGATAAAGAAATTGATCTTATGGAAACATCGTACAGGTATGTTTCTATCATTATGGGTTATACATGTTTATTTGCACAGGAAAATTCCTTTCATTTTAATCGAATGCTCAAAATGAGATCTGGCGAACAAATTTTACAGTTCTTTATTTATGTAGAATCATCTTAATACTGCTTTTGTTAATTTCGGAGTCGAATAACGTAGTACATTTGATTTTACGTGGCCTGTTGAGTTAAATTTTTAGAGGATGATTTCGTGTTTTGGATACAAATGAAGGTACTTAAATATTAGGTAAGAGCTCTAATTCATATTTTTACATAGATTTAAAGAGAATTATAGATTGCCATAAACTAAAAACTTGTGCACAGGAGACAATTAGCATTCTTAGAGGTATCGATGAACCAATGCGAGGAGAGAATGAAAGAGGAAAGTGACAAATTGGTGAAATATTATTCAGAGAAGATAAATTGGTTGGAGGAACATCACAATCTGTTTAAGAAGTTGGCAGAAAATAATTTGACTGAGTTAACGGAACGGCATAAGACGGAGAACGAAATGCTTAGACAGCAGCTTTTGGACAACGTGAAGGTATTACAGGAACATCATGCTGCACTCATGGAGAACGTCAAGTGAGTAAAAATTAATCAAATAACAAAAAGGTTCAAAAATAAGTAAAGACAATTTAAAATGAAATAGATCTTTATGAATATAAAATTTCAGGACAGCAGTTAAACAAGAACAGGTGCTGATCCAGGACTCAGCCAGCTTCTCCTCTGATCTAAAAGAGCTGGTGGCAGACGTAAGGGAAAATAAAGTATTCTCTAAAGAGCTTTTAGAGAAGGTGCAATCTTTGTCGGAAAATACTGAACGTAAATATGAGACCAGTTTGCAAGTCAGAGAAACGCAAATAAATGGTAAGATAAGTTTTACAAAACCTATTTTTGAGAAAATTAATATTACATTACTGATTCGTCAATTCTTTTCAGAAATGTTACAACAGTTAAAAATAGAACGTGAAAATATAGATACAGAGAAAGCAGAAAACCGGGAAACAATAAAAATGCTCGAAGCTAGGCTGAAACAAATGACTTCGGTAATATTAAATTTATACAATGTATTTTTTTTGTATTTAATGCCTATTGAATGTGTTTTTAATTAGGATTATTGCCTTTTAAAAGATGGTCGAAGAAGAAACGGCTGCTTTGAAACAGAAGAGGATGGAGTTTGAATTCGAAAAGGCAACTTTCAATAAGCAGACAGAATTTGCTAAGAATGTTCTCAAGAAACAGGATGAAGAAATGAAGGTATGTTAAAATGGGAAGTTCTTTTTAAAATGAAAGTAATAACCGTAAAATTTAAAAATGACAACACTGCCTAGATGCTGAGAGAAGACATCCAAAAAGAATATCAAGAGAAAATAACGAAAATAGATGAAGAGAAAGCCAAAGCAGTGAAGGAGAGCGCGATATTATCGAGAGAAAAGTCAACAATACAAAACTTGAAGCAAGAACTTGAAGTAAGTGTTTATTTTACATTTGAGTTAGGAATTTAAATGGCAAAAGAGGGATAGTAGCAAATGCACTATTTTGTTACAGAAAATGAAAGCTGAACTTCAAGCACAGCTAGAAGAAGTAGCTGAAGAGAGGTCTAAATTAAATGTGGATAAACAACAGTTACACATGGAAGAACAAAGAGTTATGTCTAAGTAAGTAGTGATTTAAGTTTCATATCACTCAACCATACACAATTATATTAAAAATTTAAATCCATTTCAGAAGCCGAGATTTAGATCTGCTCGCAAAATCTGCGATAGAAAAGCAGGCTCAAGCTGACAAAAAATACTCAGAAGCAGAATTTGTTCAGCGCAAATATGAAGAAAGGATTAGAAGGATTCAAGAACACGTGGTTTCTCTGAATTCTAGAGAAAAGCATGTTGCTAGAGAAAAAGTTGCCTTATCAAGGGAAAGGCTGCAGCTCCATAATGAGAGGAAACAAATTGAAAGTAGACAACAATGTTCCTTATGCAAATCTTCACAAAACTTTCCTCCGTATTACGAAGCTAGTTATGTTTTGCCTGATTCTTTCATGAATATCCCAGTTACTAGGGATTTGAAGAGTTCCAATGCTACTAGCGCCATGAACGCTATTGAAGAAGAAATGTCACACTTGATGGGGAGAAATTTGAATTTGAGGCATTGTGCTGGTGTTGGAGACCTGAGTCATCACGATGACAGATATCAGACAGAGGAAAGACAGACGAAAACGTTACAGTCTGATAATATGAAAGTAGATCAGGGGCCGTTTAAAGTAAGTTTTCACAATCTATAATTGTGTTTAACCTATGTAGCGCGTGGTTTCCCGCGTGCAGTAGTAACCCGGTAGTGATCGAGAAATTATTGGGAAGGTTTTTCTCATTATGCTAGAAATCATTATACACCATAACAAAGACGAGAATATGGCTCCTAATTGTAGCCTATTTTTGTCTGTAGTATTTATTAAGTCAACCAATTACATTAGTAATAGATTTGAACGACGTGACGTCAGCCATGTCGCTTATGTTCCGACGTTAGAGCATGTGGCACGTCGGCTACAAATCTCTTACGCGCCGCCGTGGGTGCATAAGACACTTTATGGGTAAAGTATGATCTTGAAAATTACTACTACTTTATAATTAACAAAAAACAGGTCCTAAGATGCTACCCTGTGGGACCCATGTCTATTAACCTTCATTAATTTGTTCTGTCGGTGTAAGTATACTTGTTAAACGTGATTCATAATAGTAATTTTCTTTCATTAAAGGATTACATGGATCCAAAGTTCATGATGCTTCGGCTAGATGTTCAAAAAGTGTTAAGTAATTTAGACCAAAATAAAAAGGAAGATGAAGACGTTACAGTTGAGGATGAAATTGAAGATGAATGATACAAATCTTAGTACCTACCAAATGTAAGAGATGTCACTAAATAAAAGACTGAATCTGTATTAATTGGTTTAATTTACTTTGATGACTGTTAAAGAACATCTTTTGTTATTATACTCGGACTTTTAATTCCATTCCAGATTTGACAATTTCAGTGTTGCAACGTTATGACACGTATTAAATAGTGACGTTGTGAAATTATTCGATGTGGAAATCGAATATTTCTGAATCGATTCCTCTCGTTTATAAATTTAATCTCGTAAACTAAGTTTAGCAGGAAATAAAATATTTCTGATCCGATTATTTAGTTTTGACAATTAATTAACGATCTGAGACTTTTCTTTTGTAATTGTGTGTGAAATTAATAAAAAATGTGATCATGAAGGAACGTGACAAATAAAACAGACATTTTATAAATTGTCGCCGTCATCGCTATCGCTATCGCCGTTACTCCATGTAACAATTATTATGAATTGTGTCTTTGATATTTATTGTCAATTAACATATCTAGCTTACTCATTTTTTCCTCTTCTTTGAAAACATGGGATAGACATTTAGACCATTCGGTAGCCGTAATTTTTTGAATGCCTTCCTGAAACTGATTCACTGATTGTTTATCGATTTTTGTGTTCATCACTACATTGTTATATGTGGTATCATTATTTCACAAAATGACAATAGGTCATGTCAAATCAGGAATCGAATTAAAAGTCTGACTATAGATTTATGAACAGTGTTATCAAAATGTACACAAATTCCTATATAGTTACATGCTAACTTATCTATAAATATTTCATTGTAAAAATATAGGTACATGATCTTTCTTACTAAATAATTATTGTTTTAGGTACTAGGGTACAGTTACACGTAATTTACAACTATGAATACAATTTTCGTATTAAATGGCTCCAATTATTACAATACACGGCTTTAAAATCACTTTCAATAAGATTGAGTTCTTTAGGTTGTCGATGTTTAAACACTATGCCGTTACTTGAAAGTGAATTCCGAGCACCCGTAAATTTATCGCGTGGTTCATAAATTTCTAAAAACTTATTAGTATTTTCTACGCACCCAAGTATATCAATCTCACAGTCTTTCACAAAAATTGCTTTAAGTAGTAACTCTAATATCTTTATGGACGGCCTGGCCTTGTCGTTTAAAGTATAATTTCATTAATTGCCCCTACTTTGCACAGATCTAATGTAATACATCCAAATAAATTATACATTACTTATTATTAACTGGCAACTGCATTTACAAAGCAATCGTCTCAGATAATAACAAGGAACAATATCTTCACTAAATGTTTAAAAATGCCTAAAATAGTATTCTATACACAATATTTACAGCTTACTTATAATCATTTTATTGACACCTTTTCTACGACCTAGATAATAAAGGATCCGCTATATATAAGGAATTCCGTTTATAAAATTAATCTATATCTAATATTTAATTTCCAAGAAGAGAAGACTATACGGCTTTACAAGGAAAGCCATTTATAATAATTTTGTTGAATATCTTTCTTATCACAGTATTCAATATCAATCTACATCAAAGCAATATAATTTCAAATGTTGATAATGATACAAATAAATTGTTAAAACATGTCCAAATAAATTGATTACCGATTGAAAATAAAAAAGAATATGAAATGAATGTCGTTACGGTTACATTTTATGTTATGACCTCATGTCACCAGGTGCTTTCTGATATTTAACTTCGAGTAACTGCGGGTAGTTCTCGACTATGGACAGCAGTATCCCATCGATGTAGTTCCTCAGCTGAACGTTCACGTCTTGTTGTTCCTTTAAAGCTTTCTGCAACTGTAGAAAATATCATCGTTAGTTTCCGAAGCTCATTTCGATCTCGAATATTCACACACAAGCATGTGGTGTAAGGATCTGTTGGTGCGCATGCAATGTTACTAAGTATTGTTTATGATGTGACATTTGGATAAGTATGAGGGCAAGCATTCATTTAAATAAAGTATGAAAAAGGTACAATCAGTCCCAAAAAGTATCCAAGTCATTGTTACGAAGCATGCAAGTTAGCGTAATCTAGAGGTACATACATGCACAGTTAGTAAAAGTTTCGTACCTTTTCCATCTCTATGCTGAGATCAGATTGTGTATCGTTACCATCGAGCTGCAAAAATGCATACATGACATATAGGCAATTGTTCCGCAAACGAGTCAGTCAGGCTTCGTATGTAAGCAAAGCATCGCAACTGTATCTGATTGTAAAGGTTATAGAGTCATTCTTGTATGACTGTAGGATTTTAAATTTATGTAATTTGAGGCATTTGTAATGAATACAGTGTAATTCAAGCCGAAAGCACAAATATATGAGTTTACATTAGGCGATTAATCAATAATAGATAATGGAAATAATCAATTTCGTTTCTATGCTTAGTTAAGTGCTGGTATTCCGTTAATTCAAAGTCAGAAGAGTCAGAATTCATCTGAATAATGCAGTGGCAAATCTAAAGAAGTATGTGAAACTTTTACGTAATGAAAAGCATGCGATGATTAAATCGAAAAATGTAAACTTGCAATCTTGCTTTAAATAGGCAAATTCATGATAGGCTTAACGAAAAATAACTGATTCTGAATTGTGAAGAAGAGGAAGGAAATTAAAAAAATGATTTTCATTTCCTTCTTACATTTCGGAAAATTTTTAGACAAATCACAAATTAGTGGTACGACTAACATGGAACACATAAAAATTTTCGTCTGTCGACAAATGAACTATTGTATCAACAGAACCTAGAAAGAACGATCCATTGGTACCGAGGATCCAAGTGAACCAGGGACAGAAGTGCCGACATTAATAAGGACAAAATTAGCTCACTGAGTCACGCATCTCTTTAATCGATTTTAAACACAAGTGTTTTGTAATAAATATAAAAATCTATTTATTAAACTGATTAAGCGATTGTTTTCTATCAATAAATGTCGGGACTTCCAGCACAAGTATTACAAACTTCTCAGAATTTTATGTATAAAGCAATGAACACATGTAGGTATGTAGTTATAATAAGAGTAATACGTTACCTCATCGTCACTCATCTGTGACAGTTCGTGTGCGAGGGAGTTAGTGCCAACGAGAGGGCCGCTCACTCCGTCTAACAAACTGCGACCCTCCTCCACGCCGCGGGTCAAGATCTGCGCTTGTAACTCTTCTTGAGCTTCCGACAGAGCTAAAAGAAGAATGGAAAATTTAAGAATAATCATTAAGTACAACCATTTTAATTAGCAACTTAGTTTTTTAGGAAGTTTTTCAAAGATACTAGTAGAGGGTCTCTCAGCTATAAAATGCAAAAGTAGGTGTGGAGTGTGGTAATTTCGGCGCGAATAAATAGATCGGTTCGCATCGCAATTGAGGTTCACTGGTGTCTATGGGCGGCAGAGATTGCTTACCAAAAAATGGTCTGTCGCCTTGTTCGTCGTCTTATCCCATAAAACAAGTAATTGACGATACTAATAATATCACGTTGATATAAAACACACGAGAATGTGTGTGTGTGGAATGTATAGATGAACAATTGAAAAAATGACCTAATTTTTCTCTAGTGGAATTAGCCTAGACTATTATCCCCCAGATTGTAGACTACACATGTTATGTACCTAGTACACAGTTCAATGTATTCATTAGTTCTATTTAAACTGTTTTAAAATTAGCAACAAAAATATCAACACTTGGGTTTTGTTTTAGAATTATTTGACTGTCTCTGACACGTGGGTCGGTACGTTGTTTCAATTATTATTGGCTACAATTGTCTCTTATTATAAGAGTCTATTATTTTTTTCCAGTGTCACTCAGTAATGACTATGAGTGGAATTGAATTGTGATATGAGTACCTTTCCGTATTATCTATTATAACTAACGAATATTTTATATATAGGTACCTATGTTTAGTTAAGGAATATTTAAGGAGAGCTGAGAACATGAAAAATAAGTTAAACATGATTGGGTCAACACATAAACTACTGCTTTTTAAATCAAGAATCTTAATTTTCGCCGCTCTGTGTTTGAACGTTTAATTTTTAGGGGCTATAGCCCTTAAATTACTTTTCCCGCTCTGAATGGGGTGAGAGGGACTGTCAGACCTTTTCCGTCTAAAAACGACCATCTTATTATTATGTTGCTGTTCACCAGATTTATTCTTTAATTCGTAGATCGATCTCAAAGTCGTCATTTCCCATTTTTATTTGTTTTTTCCATTTGTTCTCTATTGATTCGATTTCTAAGTAAGAAATCTATTCTGTGTTCTTGGCAGGCGTTCTTATGACGTTATTCTATTATTAATTCCCAGAAGGAAGGCGCTACGTAACGTTTCCGACATATTTGTTGTACCAACTTGTGAAGCAATTCAGCTTCCGTCTTTTATTTGTCGAACAGTCGCTTTACAAATGTAGGCAACGAATGTTTGTCATTGTTTCTTATAGACTAGGACCATAATTTAGTAATTGGCCTCTTCGGTAAATTGTTCCACGCTAAATGTTCCCTATAAAAACTATATAATCAAAATTTTGGCAAGCCATGTTGCTGTATCGTCTATCAGTATTCCAGTGGCTACTTACATTTATTTTGCGTCCGAAGCAACGTCAGTTCCTTCCTGAGCTCATCGAGGCGAGGGTCGGGTGGCGGTGGTGGAGCGTCTCTAAGCCTCTGCAACTCCTGCCTGGCAGTTGCCAGCAGGGTATTAGCTGTGGCAGCCGCATCTCGTTCCCTTCGCTCAGCCTCACGAGCACTGCTCAGAGCTGCTGATAGTTCGGCCACTTGTTCTTGAGCTTCGCGATGCGCCCGCGCTGCTGCTTCCGCGTTCGCTCTCAATGTTTCTGCTACTCCACGGAGTCGTCCCACCTAGAAATTTAAATAAACAAGATCTTGTTAATAGGAAAATTCAAAACTCAAAATCATTTATTCCAACTAAACCTATTCCTACCTATTCCTACAGGTAAAATAGAAACGCCAAAATAGAATAAGTATGTCCGTCTGTTCGTCAGTGAAGCTAGGTGCACCATTAACGCTTTTGTAAAGTGTAGATTCGAATGGAGAAGAACGAGTACGAGCTCGTCGAACGAGAAATCCGAACAAGTAGTTGCAATTTCTGGAGATTGGGGAGGAATATTATTTTAAACCATTATTTACTGCTTCAATTTCTAGTTACTTGTCTATTAGGTCTTAGGTCGTTAAATGCTCTCTCATTCTGTATATAATTAATATTTTCATATTGTTAGAAAACTAAAAAAAAAAAAATGTATCACCTATATTGCGGTGTATGTTATCAAATATGCATAAAAGTTAATCATAATCTATAGATCTGACCTTTGCTACACCATATTGTATATTGCAACTTTTATAAGTAGTGCGTAGATGTGGACTATCGGCTTATCTTTTGCATCAATCATAAATATTGGAAATGAGATGAATGTTTATTGTATTGCCTGACCTAGATTTAGGTTGATCTAGGCCATGTCACCTGTACTTTAGAAAGGCTTTTAATTCAACATTAAAAAAAAGTTCTGCACTTTGTTTGGCAGTGATGATTAGGGGATATTTTAAAAAATCACTTTCAGGGCGTCGGCGGTGTAATGGTCAGCATAGTTGCCTTCCAAGCAGTTGAAATCGCTCTCACCGAAAGCTATGCTACATTGGAAAGGTGGATGTCCACAAGTGATGAGGATGATGTTAGTCATGTCTATCTATAGACATGCCTAAAAATTTTAAAGTCAATGTAAAAAACATTTATCCCAACTAAACCATAAATATGTAGGTAGGTATTATTGAAAGGTCAAAATAGAATAATAGCCTGTCAGTTTGTTCGTTAGTGAAGCCAGTTATAATAATAAGAAACAAAATTTTTGCAGCCTCAATTTCCCTTACCTCTTGTTTAAGTTCGGATGCCTCAGCTTCAGCAGCACTCAGCCTATCAGTGATGGCGGCCAGCTGTGTGTCGCGGTCTCGTTCCACACGAGATATCGCTTCACGACTGCGACGCTTTTCTTCCGCTATACTCTCTTCACATCGGCATTCAATCTGTGCAGTATCGACATTAATATTTACCTCTTTAGGAGTAATTGCGGCTTACTTGAGAATTACAAGAGTAGATTGCTAGCAAGGAGGGTTTTAAAAGCAATTTATGTACATCAAGTGCATTGAAGGAGGTACTCCAAAAGCCAAGGTTAAGAGCTCTTGGATTGAAATAGGAAGAACATGTCTCAGTTGGAAAATTATTGATAATATAATCTATCCAGACATATGAAAAATAATTGTCGTACGTGAACAAATAGAAAATGTAAAAATAATTGATAAACATATAACAGTATAGAATTTAAATGATCAAAACGATTAAGGATAAAACACTGAGTATAGTGAAATTTGTAAACACATTCAGTGCCACCGACTCGCCCAGAGATTCCACATAAATTTTATTCCTGCGCCGTGGATTCGCCTGGAGAGTTCATCGTAAAATGTACGACAATATCGTAATGAAAGTGTTAATATTCTAAGACTTACCTCTCGTATCTGTTCATCGAGCATGTGTACCCTAGCTTGCAGCACCGCGTTGTCGGCCTTCGCCCTTGCGTAGCGCTCGTCAGCCGTACTCTGAGTGTCAGCTAGAGATGTCACTTGCTGCTGTAGTAACTGCACCTGTCAAAGAAGAAAGAAACTATTGTAATTTTGTTCATATCGAAAGAAAATAGCATACTATTACCAAGAACAAACCAAAAATAGATGATGTGGCTTATAAAGTTGAAGCAGATCTTTAAAGACTGGCCGCAGAAAATTTTAAACATAGAAAAATTAAAATGGGAAGATTCCCATACCATACTATGGAAGGCACGGCTGATAATAACGGTAATCGTATTACAATTACCACATTCTTAAAAGCAGCCAATGATAAGTTGACTTTTTAGGGTGATAGCTAAGTGGTTGTATGAAATGTATATTAAAGTTACAAATATTTATTTTCCGTCTATCACTAGATAATAATGGGCAAACACCGAATGGGTTCGATATTGAGCGATAACGACAACACAAACGTTTACCATAGCACGCACTAGTGAACACCAAAACTACTTACTGGTTAGAGACGCGTTCAGAATTGCGACCGTTGAATACAAATCGATTAGGATCTCTGGAGATTCATTGTGGCTTACAATGGTTATGTAAGGTAGGTCTGGTATTCGCACAGCTAACCATTATTGCGTGCAAACTGACCACGATTAAAATAACTGGAATAGCGCTCTAATCTCACTGTTAGATGTAAAATTAAAACTTTCGCGTGACCCATAATATGCTCTTTATTAACGATTACTTTTTATTGTAGTAATTATGTACATGTGACGGACAAGTAATCATCTGTTATTTTCTTCATATTCTTTACTGTTTTCAACATGTTCAATGAATCAAGGTGTAAGTAATTCGTTGGTTTATTGATTCTTGATTCATTATTCTCAGCGGTGCCAAGTTTTACCAGGTGCTGGTAACTATAAATATTATGATGCACGGCCTGGAAAACGACACACGCGACATCTGTGTTGGTAGGTCTAGGTCGAGGTGACTAACGAATAAAATTAAACAGATGAGCAAGCACTCGCTATCCTACTGAAATACAAGATGAGATCACGAGAAACCTAATAAAGACAGCAGAACGTAGTTCGACGGAAATAATTATTTGCAATGAAAGCTCAAAAGCGGAATCAAGTAATGTAGGTGAATTAAAAGTAGAGAAGAGCTATTACAAAAGTAGTTCAAAGCAATTTCAAAAGTAATTCCGATAGGTGTTTACCGTCAACGCATAATCCTGCGATTTTCCGAGTAGTCAACTGAAACCACGTCTAATTATAGACAGTTAATGGGTAAGATCAGTCACAGCCGCTTATAATTATAAAATAACAAGTTAATTGATTTCTTGATCGAGTTCTTTGCGGCTATAGTAAGTTTATTGGACTGGGTATGTGCTCTTTACTTGTTTTCTACTTTTTATTGAAATACGACGGTGTTCCTCGGCATTGTATAAGTAAACAACTAAAGTAAATGTACTTAGTTTCTCGGTCATTTGCGTTTACTATACTTTTCAAACAATAAGTTTTAAACCATCTATTTCAAGTATCAAAAGATCCCCAAATCAGAGAATCTATAAATTTCACAAGCAATTAGCTGATATGATGCGAAATCACAGCATGCAATTAATATTCTAAGCGTGTCAAGGATTAAAGTTATCTGCGATAAGTTTTTCGGATATAATGTTTAGGAAATTATGTATGTTTACTTTGTGATAATGTGCTACGATGATCTTGATATTTTCAAGGATGTTACGAAAAGTATTTTTAGCGACACTTTCACGCGACTTATTTATTTCCTTGTATTTTTGGCGTAAGTGTTTGTGAATCAGTAAATTATTTATAAATGACCAATGAAGCGTTATTTAGGAGAGCAAAATTCAATCGGTTTGTTAAGCTCCACTGAGCTGCAGTTAGTCACGAAGGAACTTCTGCTTCTTGTATGCATGTATGCGCATTCCTACCCACTTGCAGTATTTAATGCACAGGCGAGTTCATTGTATCCGTGGTTAATCCATGTCACGAAATTGTCATACAAGCATTTGTCTTTTTTGAAAATCGCGAGAAGAATTTGTAAAATACAAAGTGAAATTAATTACGGAATGTATTTAATTCTGTAGCACTGGGTTAGCTACAGGAAACAGCTTTCTTTTTGGGAAAGTCAAATTGTCGAATACGCAAATTTGTTCGGACAGTGAAGATCATTTATAATCCTGTATCATAACGTTTCTTATCTATGGAAAAGTTAATGAGAAGTTACGTAAAGTTACTAATAAATTCGTGCAAGCTGCAGGCAGATGCATATGAGGAAGAGATTGAACCAAACGTGTCAAGTGGTAGCATGAGCGATGATAGCAGCTGACGTAAGCCATTACATGACCAATAACTTGCCTTAATAATAGAATGATGTCGAAACAATTTATAACAAGTAGATACTAAAAGGAACACATGATTAATGACGACCTGAAAAATATTGTAGATAGCAATGAAAATGTGCATTCCGTTCGTGAAAATTGTGGATGATTTGCACTTGGAACGGTTGTGTCTTTGGTTTTAATTGCCAGAATTAGCAATCAATGTAACTATAAATTTCAAGAAACAGCTTAATAGAAGCCATTTAAAATCACTTTAGTTTACTATGTAGTAAGTACAATTTATAAAGATGAATGTTCGTAAGAGGGATCTCATGATCGATGATCATCTATGGAAATATAACTACCAACCTAGACTTTTATGTAATGTAGGATATACTAGATCTAATACATTATATAGATTATAAATATGATGCCCCAAATACAGTATTACTATGGCCTCCAAAGTCAATAATAATTAAACAACCAGCATGGAATTTTTTGTTGTCCAAAGAGAATAGCTTCAAAATCCGGAATTTCTGAAGGCATATGATCTGAAATGGCGAGTATATGATGATGGTGATGAAGAAGATAACAGAATAATATAGGTCAGAGCTTGCTTTCTTGCGTAACATGAGTCATGAAGATGTGACTTATAAGTGGCGACTCATTGATACACTTTAATGGTCGACGTCCGTGGTCAACAAGACTTTTATTTGTACTGTGAGTTTTATAGTTGGCACACTATGCTCGTCTGAATCATCTGTTAAATACTCTTTCATGACTATTTCACTTAGGGCAGATTTTTAATGGTATAAAAGAAAGAAGAAAGAACGTACTGAATGCAAGCATGCATGTAGAATTTTTAGGCAGTATTGAAAAGGTTCATGGTTATTTAAATGCAAAAAAAATTATTTGTAATGCAAATTGCAATTTATGTTTGTAAAAAAATATTTGTATCATTATTGAGAGAAAACGAATCTGCGAAAACTAAAATATTTCTTTAAACGCACAAAGTACTCGGTACTAAATGTTGGGCAGGATAACAACACACAGCAAGTTGATTGAAAAGAAATATTTTTAGCAAATTAGGTCAGCTGTCAGCCACGAAACTTTATCGCTCCATTGGTCACATTTGTAATATTATTAAACGCAGATATTTTTGACCGACTAGCCTAAATACATATCCTATGGACAATGTTCGATAATAACTATTTTTAATGTTATTGACGATGTTTTATCAAAAACAGAACAAAGAATATGTAATTTTTAACTGAAAAAAGGTATAGTCGAAACCAGTTTGTAATTAAATACATTTAATTAAGTATGGAATGAAATAAATTCTAAGTTCTTCCCCTATTGCAATGGCACCAAAGACGCAATGAAAGCAAAAGTAACTGCAACACTATGTATGCATAAGTATTTAAGAGATACTCTTTTCTTTTAATCACAGGAGCCAAAGGAAATGTCAAGACAAGAGAACCACACATTAGCGACAGTCGTGCTCTTTTAATTAATGGTCTAAGTTTCTGGAATTAGCGAGCACATGTTATGGGTGCTTATGAGAATTATGAAAGTGAGGGAAACAGGTACGATGCAGGTATACTTATACGGATCGTAGAAACGTTTTACAAGTAAAACTAAAAGAAAAGTCGAAGGACATTGATCTGTAACACTGTTTGTAAGTGAACAAGTGAAAGAAATTGCGAGGGTGGACAACGTGAAACACGCAATGTTGATACAATGCAAGCACACAATTGATTTATAGTTCTAATGGTCTTTATCTATTTCTATTGAAGCTATATTGTCCTAAGTAAGTAAAAACGGCTTTTCCAACCAGTGAACAAAATGAAGATTCGATATTAATCCAAGCTCACTTTAATTCTGTTGTTTGTAGGAAAGATGAGTCAGATATAAAAGCGTAAGAATTCTATTGATATCAATCCTAATGAATTACCCATTTAAGTTGGAAGTTAGGGGGTAATTCATGACTCATTTACACAATAATATGATATTTACGATAGTTAGGGCTAAGGGCGTCCACAGAAGTACCCCATCGTGTCAATCGTAGGAATGGCTTTATAAGTATAAATTTTCAAAGATGAAGATCGTTGAGAATCGTCATCGATTTTCTCAAGGTCGATAAATCATGTCGCTTTTTAACATAGTAAATGCAGAGGTAATTAACCAAATCCAATTGGTGTAAATAGCGGTTTTAATGAAGAAGCATCAGTTGAGAAGTTTCCACGCAAAACAAATTATGTAGACAATGTAAACATGTCATTAGAACCAAGTAATTTTGTAGGTGATGCAATTCATCATGGGAATCTTATGATGAGCGCAGTTCCGATAAAGAATTGTGGTTTTTGTGCAACGTTATCAATTTTAAATAAAAAGCAACAACTTTGATGGCATTATTTTGTTAGATAGTTGAATATTAAAAGTTCACCTTCTAAAAATGTGGCTAAAACTTTTGCCAGAAAAGCAAGAAGAACTGTAGATTTTCAATAGCAGAAGCAAGAAGACGATCATCTAAAAGAAGCATATATGTCAATCTATGTAATGGAAGTTGCACATGATTCACGGTGATCGCAAATCAATTGATAGCTTTTTTCATCACAGCCCAGGTCCAAACATGACTGAAGAAAACAAGTTATGCACCAGATTAGATAATGATCAATTTTAATCAAGCCTATTCAAAAAGAAAATATAATAGTGCACAGTGCCCTCGATTATTAATTTGTGACATAACTTTTGTCGGTTACGCTCTCATGGGAAAAGTGAAATGAATCGTCTTTAAAATGTAAAGCTGTATCGGAATATATCGAACTTTCGATCAGTATGAAGGTACCAGCACTCTCAGTTTTACTTTTGTTCAACTGCCCGAGCGCAAGACTGGTTTCACTTTGTTGATGTGCCCGCTTTTAAATCTAGCGATCAATTGTCCATTGATTTGTAGCTTCGCAATTTATTTTGCATCTATTCCAACTTAACAATGATATTACATATTTTTCTTCGTTTTATTTTCTGTAGTTATTTCACATGTATTGCCTTTAAAATTATCTCTGTTATCAATAATGTTATTATTTCGTTTCGTTATCTAATCGGGGGTTTCTTATGACTCATAACAAAGTCTTCTCGTGACATTATTGTCGTTATAGTTACGGACAAAGTTCTCTTTATCATTTGTTCCCAGCGTGTTGTTTTTTGTTTTGTTTCAAAAAATGCAAGTCGTGTGCTCATTAAGAAATTCGTGATATGGGATTAAAATGGCAGGAAAGCTACAATATAATGTTTGTTGTTTAATAAACATGAGACCTGACATATGAAATATAAGGAGAAGTAAAAGGGAATTATTTCACAAAACTTGCAAAAGATTTAGAGGAATTCCTGAAGAACAATTCATTTAGGTTAATGATTACTAGTGAACAAAAGTATAAATATTTTGTAAAGACAAGTGAATGATGAAGGACGTAAAACTGCGAGCCGTGGTAACTTCTCGAATGACATTTAGCGTGAAGGTAGTTAGACTCGTTACGATTTTATGTCCACTAACCAAAACAAAGTAACCTTTTCCAGTGATCCTCAGTACAATTAATCAAGTGGAACACACAAAATGGATTAAAATTACGAAATACCAAATAAACAATCAAAGGTCATTACCGATAGCCTAAAAACTGTTTACAGTGTAGCTCTGAGATCATCGCTCATTTGCACTGTCAAATATGTTTTTAGTAAAAAGCAAATATTTCATAATACCATTGCTTGTCCAGCTACTTTGGTTGGAGGAGCAAATAATATAGTGGTCATTCCTTGTCGTTTTATAACATTAGGTATGTTTGTTGTTATTCTGAACCACTCCAGACCCCACTTTTTTCGATATGGCATCTGCCACCTTGACTTGCAAGGACCTGTTTGGTAAACCGAATTATACTGAGAGACTGAAATAAAACTTTTATTTAAAGCTAAACCAAAGTTAGAAACCCGGGTTAAAGCGTAGAAAATATTGAAGGAAGTCTGTTTAGGAAAAATCCAGAAGAAAAACTGACACCGCAGAACCAATTGTCTGGTAACATTGGTTAATAAAACCATGATTATTATCGTTTAGTGCAATCAATAGGCACTTTAGTTGAATAGCAGGCGGAGTGAGTGCTCGTGACTTCCTCGAGTGAACATATTTTCTAGACTGTTGTATGTTGTATGTTGTATGTTGGCGAGTTGTCCCACAACTTTCGACCGTTTGTTATGTTAGCAGCATTGGCTTTGGATAAATATTTTTTCGTTGGAAGTTTGTTTCGTTCAATTACATTCCGCCGGCTGGTATCTTCATGCCGTAATAAGTTTTAGATGAAGGAAGTCCTAAAGATTAGAAATTGATTGATATGCGGAGGTGAATCGCTTCCGATGCTATGGTCATCTTTATTGCACTATCTGTGTGGGATAGGTAAACGAAAAATTCTAGCATTGTTAAGATTAGGCAGTAATACAAAATGTATACGAATAACAGAAACCTTAAAGACTCCATTTTCATGTTTCGTGGTGTACCACATGTTGGTTGTTCATTTAACAACTATGTAGTCTTTACTCCACTAGTTGAACAAGATACTGCGAAATCATTAATTGTTATCACAATTGTGTATGTTTGTGTTGACTATATCTAATGGGCGTACAATTAATTTATTGCAGATATAAAGGTCAACGTCCGTCGCGTCGGCCGGCGCCCCAGTTAAATGACGACAAAGTATTAGGTCGAGGTAGGTAATGTATTGTCCAACCGTACGGGTGTTACCGGCGAATCGATATGCACTCGGTATGACACGGTATTGGTAACGGTCAACCGTAACCGTTGCGTACACTGATTGTTCTAATTGTTTTATTAATTACCCGGTCTGACTATCATAACATAATCCCTATACGAAAGCTTGGAATGTAATGTAGTATGCCAAGTCAATGAACCCATTGTTATGAAGATTATTGTCAAAGACATTACATATATCAATTACCTATGTACAATTAACATCATGGATGAAACAAATGGTCATGAAGATGAGAATGTTAAAGATGTAGCTGTTGTGAAAACTAATGAGATTACTGACATACTTATAGTTAAAACCGATGGTACTTGTTTTATAGTGTATTACCGTAACAAGTTTCATGTCTAAAATACTTTAAATGTGAACGACTACCAAATTAGAGATGATTAGAAAATTTCAGGTCAAACACCATTAAACGCAATGCAGATAAATAGTGTTAGTTAGTGCGAAAACCGTTTGAAGCTGGTCCGCTCATTCCAGCCATTTACTGCATTCTGACCAAAGATTTACGATATGAAATGGTTGGCGAAAGGGAATGCAGCACTGGCTGGATTCACTTTTGAGACTTGTTTGGCTCTTGCGGAAAAAACCTACTATGTATTTTCTTTTAGCCATAGTAATGAAATGAAAATTTAATTGCCTTTATGTACAGTTATTACGAATGTAGCTATGCAATGTAGGTACTATATATAAAAGCATTTTTGTGTGGAAGGAAAATTTGAGTATAAGTCAGTAAAACTGACCTAAATTATTATTTGTGCATACCTAACGTATTCTGGACGTGTGCATCGGCCATGACATAAATACAAAATCGGTGTTACATTAACAAGTAAATACATTCCAGATAGAACTAAAATAACTTGCCCCTGGTTATCCAAAGTCCTTGCGAAATTTAGAAGGGATCAACATTAGCATGGTGTCCAAACAATTTGCATATTGTAGACAAATACATTTCCGACTAGTTCAAAACTTGTTTTCATTGCATATTGTGGAATACCAAACGCAGTAATAGATCCAAAGTATTAATTAAAAGAATCATTGTTTCTGTAACATCATTGTGGTCGTTTCTAGAGTAATTACGTGTAATAGAACATATTATGTAAATTGGAGCTAAACATGGTGACTTCGTAACATGCCAGGATGCCTTTCTCAACTGCTACGAGCCATAAATTAAATTAGAGCATTGTCTTGATGGCAGCCTCTCATTTACTAAGAATTGGTGTGAATGTTATTTGTAAGCATCTTTTATCTGATTTCAATGGAGGAGCATTCATTTTTTCCTGCTTTTGTAAGTAGTTTTGCGATTCAACTTCCAGTATTTCAATAGCTACTTATCTCGAATCAATTTTAGAAGCAAACCATGATATTCAGAGATAGGCGGTGATAAATGCAATCGAAACTATTGATATTATTGATAATATGTTGTAATCTGGAGGCAATCCATGGTGGTATCTAGTAAAGTAGGTACCTCTAACTGCTATGCAGAGTTTGGTCGATGGATGTAATGTTTTAAGTTGAAACGATCGCGTGACACTTGTTAACAAATCAAAGACCGCGATGGCACGAGCAGGTCGACCAACGGCTGTTATTTAAGAAGGAACTACTTTTATTTTCGATTGCACGATCGTCGTATTTGTAGATAGACAGAACTACAGATGTAGATAGCGGTCACTGAAGATAGGTATAAACTTTTTTTACAGGCTGATACGGTGTGTTAGTAAAATGTATTGAACGCAATGTAAAGAAAAAAGTAATCACGATATCTATCAGTATTGACTACTGCTTTCTCTGAAAGTTTTATTTGATAATTACTTTGATGGTTTTTGGGTCAGTAGATCGAATTGTGATTGTCCATGTTGGTATTGCACTAATATACGATTGTATTAGTTCTTTTCCTTGTTGATGATGTAGATGCTACTGTTATTTTGAGATACCATTAGCTAGATATGCATTATTCTAAGGGAATACTTGTACCTAATTGACATATACGCATTTGGAATACAATGAGTAATTCTTTTGTGAATCAATTGCCAGGAAAAAACATGTGGTAAATGATGTTGGTCGCTTGACGTCATTACTGATGAACAAGTAAATATAATTTATGGGACAAATAACCAATTCCATGATTGACCGAAATCATGCACTTAGTAATACATTCATTGTATTCCACAGCAAATATTGTTTAAAGCAGTAAAATTGTTGTATTCATAATGGATGCTCACTTGATCTGACAAATTGTCGCACCACTGATGCGCGGCAGTCTTCTTTCCCCCATTCAGGCCATTGGCCAGATGAGGGGTCAGAGGTCCTCCAGTAAACAAGTCCTCTGTAAGACTTGTGTCGGAGGTGATCCTGCCTCTGACCTCAGGCGGCGGACCTTGTGGGCCCACGAAGTCAAATTGACCGTCCCACATATCATACTCCAACTCCAAACTATCTTCCACTTCAATTGGTTCACCCATTGTACCTCTGGACCGATTAAAGAGGCCCGATTTAAACATTTAAAATCCTGTCTTATTATCTTTGGATATTTTCCAGTATTGCACTCAACTAACTTAACTTACACCTTAATTACACTTATTTATTAGTTTTCACTTTGACTTTTATAGATTAGAATAATTTCTTTCACAATAAAGCTAAAATTCTAATGGCACACTTGATTAGTGATAGTTCTTACGGCTCCCCTGTTCTAATACAATTATGAAACTTCACATTCACGTAACACCACTTACAGGCAGTTAATCACAGCCCGTCACATTTTTCTCATAGATGGCTTCACTACAATAACAACTGTAACCGATGGTCACTCTCTGGTCAATGTCAACACAGAAGTCCTTTAATTGTCGTCGTAAACAAGTATCAAAATATCAGGCAATAACAGACTCCGACGAAGTCGATTTAAAATTTTCGACGGTTGCACTGACATCCTTTTTGAAACGGCGAATTGTAAGTAAACACGGTAAAGAATTTCAGGATTTCTCTTAGAATGTAAGTTCACGCGTTATCGGTATCGATGTATTACAATCGAAACTTGTAGAAGTCGTGCTGGTACGTGGTGTTGGCACAGTATCGCGGTGAGCACTACCCGGCGCGCGGCGGCGGTGGTCGGTCGGCGCCCCACCCATTGACACGACATGATTATCAGCCGGCCGCCGAGCCACCGCTCCATACAAATAAACTTTATTCGCTCCCTGCACATATGCACAGCCGTCTGATACATAGTTCCGAGGCAATAACCCCTTTCATAAGCTCCCCCAGTCTGGTTGCATCTCGTAATTTTACGGGCGAGGGGCCATCATGATTGCGTCCGACTTTGCCAGATGGAGAACGATTGAATTCAACGAACGAACTTTCAAGACTTTATTTTACTGCAAAATTATTCATAGAACCATTGCAACTCTCATTGTAGATAATCGTAACAAAATCGTTATTTTAAATAAATAAATAGAGGGTTACATCTACAAAGTGAGTTTTGCACTGAATAAGGTAACGACATCAAATAATCTGTTTAATAAATGTGTAATAAATTAAAAGCAAGTGACATTGAAGAAAGTTAATACAGAAAGTGAGAAGCGATATTTTATGATAGAAAAAACGTGAAATCATTAAGTGGAGCCTCTTGATGTACGGGCTCTTGCAAGCCGCCATCATGGAATGGCGATGCATTTGTATTTTACTTGATGCCTATTTGATTACTTGGACGGTCTAGGTTTAAGGTAATGAGTGTGCGAAAGTCCACAAATTTGATTTTAATTCTGAAGTCTGGCAGACAATAAATAATCTTTACAAAATAAAAGTCTAATAAAGCTTAAAGAGATAAATTGCAAAATGACGGTCTACTTTTGTAAAAAGATGATGATAGAGATAGTTGTAAAAAATAACAAAATGAATGAGTTATTTAATAGAATACAGAAATGAGGCTATTGTGCACACCGTGTGAAATTCGTGGTCGGAAGTTTGAATTGGATACCATAGCAGAGACAGATATTTAATAAAAAAAAAAACTGAGCGATCATTTAATCTTCACAGAAATTTTGAAGTATTGTTTTGAATTCCGAATAAATAGTATTAAGTTCGGGAAAAGGTTGGACACGGATGGATCGACACTATTAAAAACTAACAAAGTTGTTATTACACAAACAATATAAGGTGTGACAATGGATGATATGTAACTAGATTGTATGGATAAAATGGATCCATTTGTTGCACAGGATGCAAGTGTTGTCTCAGTGGTCTGTTGTTTAAATTTTCCTCTGCATTCTATCGAAACTGGTTGAGGTGATTTGAAAATAGAACAACAAGAATTGTTGCCTTTCGAGGCCTTCGTGTCTGGACGAGATTCTTGCCCTGATAATGTGAATACTATTATGACCCAGTAAAAAGCAAGAAGTACAAACAATACCAGAAAAATTACAATTCGTAACAATACCATTTACTTTATAGATTGAAGTATAGCTTACGTAACAACTAGATTAAAAAAAACTTAATTAAACTTGACGAAACACGCACTATTAGGCACGCCGTCACGGGCTTTCAAATGCCAAACAAAGGGATAAAAATATTCTCACAATGAAATAAATAAAAAATCAACAATTGACGGAACAATGCGATCTCATACATTTTAATAGAGTTCATACAAGCATAGCAAATAGTAGAGCTGGTTGCAAACTAACGTCATTCAGTGGTTAAGCCGGCATAAAAACTTCAGCAGGACTATAACAGCTTAAGAGAATTTCTCACTTTCTCTAATGATACTTTACGAAGCTTTATTAATATAGACAGAAGTATTGAAATACATTAAAATGAGTGAAATTCTGTACTGTCTATCGATCGTTAGAAGATTATTGACAGAATATAAGTATAAATGCATGACATCGATTCATTTAGAATGCTCAGTGTAAGTATAGGTGGAGGTTATGATATTACGATTGTCATGATTCAATCCGTTTGCAGTAGATCTTGCACCTTATGCAAGAAGTAGAAGATATTAAATGACCTTAGTAACAGGACAATATTGATTTACTGATGACATTAAATTGGAATTCAATAATTTGTTTTTTTTCTTACGCAGACTGATCTAAGAGCATGTGTTAAACAACTAAATCCAAGATTTTTTTCCCTTGTAGAAAATGTATTCTCACACGAAGCTTCCCTAACATCGAGGAAACGTCTTTCAAAGTATAGGTCTAATAACGGGTGTGTTAAACAAGGTACTTAACTCGTACGTGTAAAAATAACGTAAAAAGTGATTAAAATTCGTGATTAGAATATCAATAATAATTTTCAGATGAAGGGAAAATCGGTTTGATATTTCAAACAATGCTTGGTTACGGATTAAAACTAGTCTAACCAATGCACACGCAAATTTACTTTGCCAACCTTTAATTAATGTTTTTGTCGCATTGCCGCGTTTGTTTGCGCATGGGAAATTTTCATGTAAGTACGTAGATATGTATATGAATATATTAATTATAATTATCAAAAATTTTCTCTTTTATATTATTTCCGTGTAATTTTCTTTGTTCACATTATAGTATATTATGGTTGATTTATTTTCGGAAGCTACGATAATGCCCAACTTTATGCGTGCGAAAAACTTGCACCTAGCTTCACTGATGAACAGATTGACATACTATTCATACATAAATACCTATTCTATTTTTAAGTTTCAAAACACCTATTTATGGTTTAGTTAAAATAAATGATTTTGACTTTGAAAACATTTAGTTTTTACTCGTATTATTTTACAACTAATATTACTTTTGGAACTTAAATATCTGCATAAAGTTATGCTTTATTTACATTAAACCTGTCAATCATTTGTGTAAAATTTACTATATCAAGTACATAAGTAGTATTCATTACTTTTCAACAAAAAACGGTGTCATTGTTCAGCATTATTCATGGCTGATGCTATAGGTTCGTTTATCGGCACTTCGCATGCAACATTTTGGATTCATTTGGAATTCCCCATTACTCATTTATTAAAAGATTAGTAAGAAAGTTAGGGGAACTAACGGAGGGTGGACAATAATGGGATTGTGCCTTTGCTGTACTATTTTACGAGAATATTTAAAACAAAGCTCTGTGTTAGAATCAACCGTATCTAATATAATATAAGTTGATAATTTTGAGTTAGAAATATTAAAAAATAAAGTAAATATAGAATTAATTGTTAACCATGCTATATTTAACACTAAAGCTATGAATACTAAACATAAAGATGTTGTTGCTGATGACATAATAATAGCAGCGAATAGTTCTTGCTTTGTTTCCGGAGTTGGTGCCGCTTGGACGCCAACACCTGACCTCGGAACAGTTCAAGGTCTTTTAGAACAAATAAAAGACGACCGTGTTGATGAAGAGCATAATGTAGTTAGGAAAGAAAAGAAAATAGAAAATGCAATATATTACTGAAGTAAGGAATTTAATTAGAGATTGTAACTAAAGACAATTTTTTACAGTCCTAAAATTTGTGTAAACCAGAATATGTTAGACATGAAAGCCATTAGACTAGTTTACGAGAATAAAACTCAATGAATGAAATGCCTGAGTCGCAGTAGTAGCACTCTATTTTTTTGGCACTATTTAAAGCAATAACATCATACGCGTACCATCATCGCAGGAGTATTTTAACATTATGACAAGTATCCAAATTAGGAGTGTGGTCATGAAACTGTAACACATAGACAGTGTTCTAAATTACAATCAGCGTGTATACTTACTGTTAAATTAATTCTTTCGATTTGTTTTTAATTGTACAGTGAAATATTTCATCGTTTATTCAGACAAGCTTCTATTTCTCGTCTATTATTCTCAATTATTCCCTGAATTTAATTTGAGTTCATTCACAATTGATGTGAGTTAATTGGTCTTCATTAAATATAATTGGGAGCACCCGATAACTGCATGATCAATAAAAGAACGTCTGAAATTGCACTTCAATGCAATTTCCGGACAAAAACTGGGACATTGTTTGGCGGTAGCGAAGTAAACTGTTTTGCTACTTATTGTGAATTGTTTGCAAGACTTGGCGTGTCTTGGTTAGTTACGGCAAGTTCCCGGATTCACTACACAAGTGTCATCTCACGGTATAATTACTGCAGTAATAACGATTGTTACTAGATATCTGGTCTAGATCTGTACCACATATAACACGTTCTCGCCGTAAGTTGATCTTTTCGCCCTAAAAACGGAATCAATTGCTTTCCTACCTCTATCTTTGTGTGCCCCAGATCTGTGACGTGGCGCCCCGTCCCGAGTTTAATTTAGTTTTCTGCGAATTTTAACACCAGCTTTTTTAATTTTAAACTTTTCTGGAAATCTGGTTGTTGTTCCTGACGTTCACAAGTCTAGAAGAATGTTCCGCGATCGCAAACCTTTGATTATATTACAGCATCGTGTTACAAATGATGCGTTCTCGATAGCACATAAATTTCAATTAAGTTAAATCAGGATCTCCTTAACTCGTTATAGCGCAGGGCGTGTTATTTATTGGTGTTGTGTATTTTTAAGTCTTGTAACGTTTTTGTTGAAAAAAATTACAAAGAAAAAGATAGTAAACTGAAGGAAATGAGTGAAGGACACGCGATAAGTAAAGAAGTTACATCAAGTTGAGCGGAAACCGATAAAAGTACCTACAATGTAAGTAGCGGATGATGAAAGCGAGGACTCATTTTGTCAATGAAATTGGTTGGTATTCGTACATCAACAACGTGATCGATGAGGGCTAACCACAAGCTCTCAGGTCAAAAGAATTATCGTTCGTTGTTGATAACAATAGTCTAAAGAATTAAAAACCTAAGAATAATTCTTCGATTGCACGAGACTAATAAAATAACAAGCAAAAACGATTTTGTCGTATTAGCTAAGTTAAAGGGAAAAAAACGTGATTATGATGTTATAACGACAAATTAACTAGGGATAAACGGTGTCATGTAGCCGTGTAGCAAAATTAATAACTCGTAATTACTAATATGTGTAAGAATCTTGTCATCTGCACACAATATGTTTGTATTTCACACGCGTTCATTCGCACCACTTTCCGTTTCACACATATACTATGTTTCTGTAACGCATAATCGTACTAGAGTTAGATAATACGCCTCTTTACTGTCATATACTCTTCT